TAGACTTTTAAATGAAAAATTAGTATGTTGCATGTTTATTTGAATAATTCACTTAATTAGATTTTCTAGCAAATTTACTTAAATAAAAAATATTTAATTATAATATAAATTATTATTTTCTAGCGATGCCTTAGATTCTTAAGCATAAAACTATTATTTTGCATGTTTATTTGAACAAGAAATTCTTAAATCTTTATGAGATAAGTATGTGTAGGCTTTAGTTTTATCAATGTTAATTGTTTATTTTTTCGTTGTCATAATCATAAATTTAATATAACATTTACTTATAATTAAAATTTCCAAACAAGAAATTATATTAAAAATTCAATGTATTCTTTATTGTTGTAATAATAAATTTCCTAAATATTAATTAGAAAGAAAGTTCCTACAACCTAGGAGGGGTTTGCTTTATAGGAAGCCAAAAAACGTGAGCCTTTTAATATAATGAATCACAAGAGAGTAACTTGTTCTTATGAAATTTAACCATATTCTTTTTTTTGTTTATCTCTGTATAGTGATAATTATTAAAAAAATAGATGGTGAAAATAATAATAATAATAATAATAATAATAATAATAATAATAATGATGATGACAAGTTTCGGAATAGTAACAATAACTCTAGTCCCACGTGTTGCAGAGCAAAATAGATGTTTGACTCGAATCATGATATCCAAGCATTGTTATTACCGAATTATCCATTTTACCCTTTCTTTAAAATAAAATTGTACCTACTGCCCCTGTTACATTGCATATATACAGTATAACATTCAACTTTCTAACTGTGAACCATCCAATTATAAAATATGAAAAATTAAAATCGTAACTCTATATTTTATCAAAATAAACTATTTTTCTCTTATATTTTTTAAAAATATATTATTGTATCCTTGTGTTTTGAGTGCGATATATTAGATTGCTCTTTTGTTCAATATTTGAGATTTTAGAGTATAAGTTGAAATAAGATCTAACGGTCTAAAGAGATAGAATAAAATTTTTTCACCAAAATGTCCCTTTCCATCTCTTTTTTTCTTCCAAAAAACACCCCATAGTCAAAAATAAATTTTTTTTTTTTAAATTGAGAAGATATGTTATAATCTTTTCACTCAAGAAAATGAGATATGCCCTTTTGATGCGTTTTCTTTTACTTTTTTGTAAATATTTTTCTTTAGATTTGAGAAATTTGCCATTGATGTGAGTCGAGCACTTCATTTGCCTTGAAAAATGAAAACCCAATTTCCTCTTTTTGTTTACAGGCTTGAACTTATTGGTGATTTTTTTGTTGTTATCCTTATCATATGTTTGGGTTCTATCATTGTCCACACTTCACAGCAAATTAATGTGAGTATTGGCCTCTCTCCTGCATATATTGAGGTGATATTATAACTCTTTTTATTCATTTCCTTTGGTTTCAGATTTGGTTCATTGTAAGTTGATCACTTGATTGATTTTTCAAAGATCTGTTGAAGAAGATGAGTTAATTGATGAAGTCTTTTAAATTAAAAGTGTGGAGGAGAGGAAGGAGCAAGAGGATTCTGTTCATTTCAAGGTTATAAATGTCATTTTGTGACCATTTAATGTCTAAATTCACAAAAAAACAAATGAAAGGGGAGGATAGTGTGATGGACTAAAAATACGAAAATATAATAGTCTATTTTCAAAAAGACAAGGGCAAAATAGTTTATTTTGATAAAATATAGTGGTACGGTTATAATTTTCCTTTATAAATTATGTATGGTGCCTTGAAACGAGTCAGACCATCTACGGTGGCCTTCAATTCTTTTTAATCAGCAAAAGATATTGTTTATTATTATTATTATTATATTAAAATCCAAGAAAAGTTTAACATACATAGACAAGTATACCTAAGTCATCATGCTAAAAAACCAAACCTAGCTCATGAATTTGCAAATGCAAATGGCAGTTATACCCAACCTAGAATGGGTGAAACTTTCCCATCAATTTAAAAGCCTTGAATTTCTTTTGGAGATCCAAATGACTGCAATTTTGGAGTTCGATTCCAGTATTAAAGGAGAGGAGTAGTACTAAGATGAACTAAAAGTTTCCAAGGCATATAAAATTGCCAAATTTCACTAAAAAAAAAAAAGGAATTACCATAAAAAAATTTATCGCTATTTCCTTAATTTTTATCGATAAATTTGTATTGCCCACCGTTCTGAAAATCAGACCAGATCGATTGGTTCGACCGGATCGATTAGGAACCAAATTATGCTTTGATCTGAGTTGAATAGCAAAACCAAAAGGTTAAAAAACCGCTAAGAAACAGCGTGAACCGGGTAAGAACTGGCGAATTAGTTCCATTAATTGCTACGATTCAACTCCAACCAGCAAAGTGAAAAAAAAAAAAAAAAAAAAAAACCGGGTAAGAAACTGGCGAATTTAAGTTTTCCATTAATTGCTACGATTCAACTCCAACCAGCAAAGTGAAAAAAAAAAAAAAAAAAAAAAAAAAAATGCGAAAAAAAAAAAAAAAAAAAAATCGGACAATATAGAAAATTGGAGATGATCCAGAATCGAACAATGGCCAAACCACCTTCGCCTGAGGCGGCTTGGCGAGTTGTTTCACCTGGTGCTGGCAGTGAGACTCATGGCCACCCTCCCTGTTGATTGTTCTCTTTACAAGTCTCTCCTTCTTCCTATTAACTAGTCCCGATGAATCCTTTTATTCATTATCATGCAAACCAAATCGCTTAGGAAGAGACAAGGCAAGTGATCAATTCCCAAACCATACATTTCCATGCCCTATTCTCAAAATTTTCAATTCATTTTCAGGAAATTACTCTGTTTGTTTGATTAAGTATGGCTTTCGGCTCACTCTCATAGTCATTTTGTCGATCATGTGGAGCAGTTTAGCAGTCGAAAATTTACCTGCTAAAAATCAGTGAATATCAAAGCCGTCCCATTTCACTATAGTAAGTGCAATTTTTTCTTCTCTAGCTTTGAATGTTTTGTTTACTTGGTTTCTCTCTGTTTTTTATACTTGTTTGTCGAGAGAAAAATTGAGAATTTATATGAAAAAGAGGAATTTAAAGAGTTTGAATCCTTGTTCTTTTTGTATAAATAATCATTATTTTGTGCTACAAAGTCTTTAAACAATGTAAGAGATCTAGATATAACAAACTGTAGTTATTATGTTTTATAGTTTTCAAAATAAATCAAAATTTTACTTTGGTTTGTTTATTATTATAATTAATTAATTTTTTTATTAAATTGCACTTTATATTTATATATATTGGGCTTATATAAGTAGAAGGATATATTATAATATAATGTTTTATCCTTTTTATAAAAATTAATTCATATTTACAAATCCTATATTTTTAATTATATTTAAAAATATATTTTAAAAATATTATATATAAAAATCCAGTTGAACCGTACTGAATCTAGTCGAATCCTCCGATTCAGTGAACCCTTTACTTTCACTAGTTCAGTGATCGGTCCGTCCTAAGAACATTAGCATTACTGACAAAATACTAAAGAGTTTTTTTTTGGTAAAACAAAAATTTTTGTTGTTAAATTAGCGACAAAATTTTATTGGTAAATTTTATTTTTTTGTCGCTAATATCGTTGTAAAAATTAGCAAGTTTTATCAGTAAAATTATTTGTTATTATTTTGTTAGAATTTTATCTTTAACTTTGTCATTGTTTTGTCGGGATTTTCTCGTTGAATTTATTATGAAAATTTAAAAAAAATATAATTTTCTATCGGTAATTTATCGCAATTTTATCTAACTTTAATACATATTTTAATAAAATAAATTGATTTTATCAATAATTAATGGTATTTCATCACAGTTTTTTATTTTTTATTTTAATTAATAAACTAATTTTATTGTAATAATTATATTAAACTTTAATAACTAAATTAAATAAAGAAAATTAATACAAAAGCACAAAGAAGTAAAAATAAAAGAAAAAAGAGTAACAGCGAGAAAAAGAGAAAAGAAGAAAAGAGGGAGAAAAAAAAAGGAGAATGAGAATTTATGAAAATAAAAAGAGAGGAAGAAAAAAGAAAGAGAAGAAAAGACAAGATGTAAAAAGAAGAAGAAGAAAGAAAGAAAGAAAGAAAGAAAGAGGAAAAAAGTAGAGGAGTAGTAGTAGTAGTAGAAGAAGGAGGAAAATGGAGCACTTAAAGAAGAAAAATGAATGGGAGAAAGAAAAGGATATTAGTACCCCCGAGGGATGAGATGAAATGACATAAATCTCTTATCCTTTAACTGCAGGTCTCGAGTTCGAGCCATAGGTATGAAATACCTTTAAATACTCGGGAGGAAGCACTTTACCCCTCCCCTTTGTAGGTATATCCGGCAGAAATCCGGATTAGTTGGGCCAGTGGACTTTAGATACTGGATTATTAAAATTAAAAAAAAAGAGAGAGATTGATTGTCACGACCCGAAACCATGGGCCGGACCGGCATAAGGTCCAGGTAAGCTTAAGGCTCCTGAGGCCGTAGTAAGCCTGAATCACTAAAATTCTACTTTTTCAATATAAATTTCAAACATTCAGCCCATATTTCTATGCAAAATGAATCTCATAAATATTTTATCCCTCGGCCTAAATTCAACATCTTAAACTTTTCACGGATTGAATCTCATTTATAATACATCACATTTATAATATGGGCTCTCAGAATCATTTCATCTATATTAATACACGACTAAATATAATTCTACAACTGCAGAGTCACTAACTGTTAGATATACATAGATTTTTATACATATAGATACATAGCAAAATAATTATTGAACTAGAAAAATTTTCTACAACTGCAGAGTTCACTAACTGTTAATATACAATAGATTTTTAATATCATATAAGATACAATAGCAAAATAATTATTGGAACTAGAAAATTTTTTTTTTCTAGCCCTGGCAAAATAATTATTGAACTAGAAAAATTTTTTTTCTAGCCCTGCGGCGAAGGAACATAGCTTAATTAAAGAGAAACTTACTTCCTGAAAAATTAAACAAGATATGTGAGCCTTCTAAGAAGTAATACTTATTGCAAAACACACACATTCACACAAATGTGTAAATATATCAATCTAGTCATCTGACTAGTTATATGCTCACACAGCTAGTTACACAAATGGCATATCACCAACAATCACAATTATTAACATCTTCACATAATCACATCACGTGGAAAATTGGTCTGTGGCGTCACCTAAACCCCTAATGAGCCGTCCTCACACATGGCCCATCTTCTCATAACGTGTGCACCAGGGAGCCGATCCTCCATACATGGCCGACCAGTCTAATCCTGACTTGACCAACCCTCTCATTGTTTTTCCATTCTCTCTTTTCTTTTCCGTACCAACATGAGACAACCCGGTCGTCTCCGTCAAATCTAGATCATCAGGCGCACACAACAGGTGGCCATCCTGCGGGCTACCATCAAATCCAGATTATCAGGTGCACCCAATAAGAAGCCACCCTGTGGTTTCTATATAATCTGTATCATCAAGTGCACACGGGGCCGCCGATCTCCCATTTACCCGGCCGACGGTCAAATTCCATAATTTTCATATTTCATAGACCGTCATCACAAACCCATGGTGACCCACTTCATCCCAACTCTACACAAACATGGCAAAACATTGTCACATCACAACTAATCAATCATTGCAATTAAATGCAGACATATTGATCAGTCAAACATCATAATGCAATGCACAATTAGACATCCATACTTAAATGCAAATAAATAAATAAATAAATAATATTAACAATGCAATGCAACAATTAGACCATCCATACTTTAAAATGCAAATAAATAAATAAATAATAATATTAACAAATAAACAACAATGATAAAATAAATATAATAATGAAACAATAATAATGAAAAATAAATAAAATAAATAATTGAATAATAATGATAATAATAAAATAATTAGAGCACTCTATTTATTATGTATTAAGTTATAGAATTAATCTAAATAAACTTATTAATTAGTCTAGATTCTATCAAAATTTCAACAGCACCTCCCCTAAAATTTGACTAAACCATAATTCCACAATATAGTATCAAAGCCCATCCGTCGGATAATTCAAATCAACTCATCCTGTCCGCCATAACCTTATTTATCAATTATTCGATCAATCAATTCACACAGCCCATCCATCGGTCAATCCATTCAACCAATCCATCCGCTTCAGACTACATATATCATTCATCAAACTCACATATATACTCTTAATAATTTCAAATTAATTAATTAACAAATTATATTAACCTCCAAGCATGATTCAATGATATTATTAATTGCTCCAAAACTATTTTTTCGTCTAAGCCGTAAATTATAACTCCTCCTAACAATATTTATTAAAATTTTTATTAAAATTCTTAAAATTAGCTTAACATAAATATTAGCAATAGGCATTCTTATCTCAATACCGAACTTCAGTTGTAAACTAAATGTTCATTGAAATATATATAACAATATTCAGAAACTATTTGCCATTTTACATTATAACTGACCGATTCTTTAGCAAAATTAGATTTGCATTGATTATTCGTTCAAATTCAATTTAATTAACTAATAATTATTAAAGTTTATAATTTATACTGAAAATGGGGAAAATTTATACTGAAAATGGGGAAATTGGTCTTAGAACATACCAATTGAGAATCGGGCGACGATTCCATGATCAGCGCGAAGAGAAGAGAATTTTGTCTCTCCGAGCCTCGCCGGAGTGTCGCCGGCCAGTCACCGGACCGCCGTCCACGATGGCCGGAAAATCGATTTTACCCAGAATTTCACAATTCATGCGCCCCTAGCATCGAAATTCCATCAAGAATTCAAATCCATGCTCCAATTGTTGAGTCTATGCCCGATTTGGCCTAAACCTCGCAGACCGAAGCTGCATGCCACCATCAATGGTGGTTTCACCACCGGAGCCCCATCATCGAAACCAAAAGATGGGAAACACTCGCTTGACCAGAAGGAGTCGATCGAAGGTCCTCCAGCTGACTGAATCCACCGGAGACGGCGAAAGTCGGCGGAGAAGTTCATCGCGCGGCGTCCCATTTCCCAGTCGCATTCTCTCTAATTTCGGGTGCCATCTCCACAAAGCAAACCTACAGATAGCTTCCTCTCAATGTACTCTACGATTTGGTATCAAGGCTCGCCGGATTTGGTGGTCGGAAGCTGGAGATTGGAGGAGAGGCAGCGAGTGTCTCGCGAGCAGAAGAAGAAGAAGAAGAAGAGAAGAAAAGAAAAAGAAGAGAGGCGGGTCTAGAGACTTCTGAGCCATTCCGGTTCGATTCAAATCGGTTTGATCAAAATCAACGGTTTGACCTGATTTAACTTGGTTTTCGAGTTTTTCACTTGGTTTTCAGAAAATTCAAGCTAGTTTTCGATAAATCAATTTGATTTCCGGGTCTGGTTCGATTTATTTTGGTTATTTAGTTAGGTTTCGTAACATTTCCTCCATTTACTCAATAATAATTTCCTCCATTTACTCAATTAATAATAAATATTAAAATAAGTAATAATATTTGATTTAGGTAATTATTTTTATATATTCATAATAGAAATTTAAAATTGCTGAAATTTCATATTATTTCTTGAAATTTTAAAAACTGTTCTCTTCGATTTATTTTGGTTATTTAGTTAGGTTTCGTAACATTTCCTCCATTTACTCAATAATAATAAAAATATTAATAGTAATAATATTTGATTTAGGATAATTAATTTTTATATATTCATAATAGATTAAATTGCTGAAATTTCATATTATTTCTTGAAAATTTTAAACTGTTCTCAAATAAAAAATTTCGACATTATATTTGGGTTTGGGCTCAACTCGCAAAACTTTAGACTCAAATTAAAATTATTTGGTGTTTCTAGCCCATATAATCGAAAATAGAGATTTTTGATTTAATAAAAATTCGAAGGTTTCGAAAATAAAAATTCAGGGTATTTCATTGATATTTCAAAATAAATTTTCAGCCTTATTGGTAAAATTGCTGCTAAATGTTGAGATTTTGACGGTAAAATTTATTTCATGTAAAATTTTAATTTTTTTAAATTTTGCTGATACTATATCAGTAAATATTAACAAATTAGCGAGAAATATTTTATCGCTAATTTATTAGTAATTTGTTGCTAAATTTCTCTATTTACAGTATTTTGTTCCCGTCTAAAATTTTTTATAAGATCTGTTGCTAATTTCATTAGTATTTGTCGCTAATTTTTCCATAATTTGACGATAAATTATCAAAATAGATGCGTATCTATGACATGCTTTTTACTCATAAAATTCATATTTGTTGGTAAATTTTATTAGTAATTTATCATTGATTTGTTGAAAAATTAGGCACAGTTATTACTGGGTAATTTGATGGTAGTATGCTGCCAAAATTAAACAATATTTTTTAATTGTAAAATTAAATTTTATCGGTAGTTTTTTGCTAAATATAGACAAAAATTTTTTGTTAATAAATACTAATTTTCTTGTAGTGTTCTAGATCTTTGATCGTTTCATCTAGGCATAAAATAGTGACAGAAACCTAAGCTAAATGAATTGTAATCATTATTCTACGGAATGACTATTGATTTTAAAAAGAAGTCATCATGATGGCTTAAATGACCATCAGTTTTCATTTTGATTAGTTCACAACAATCTTTTTCTCCCAGCGGTAAGCACGGGTTGTCCGCGATGTTGATTGTCTAGGGACGGTCAGGCTCGTCAAGGTCTAAGTTTTCATAAGCCTTTACTCCTAACCGTTATGTTCTCGAGTAGTTAGTGCTCGGTTCTATTCAATGGTTCACTTCTTGGTCCTGAGATTGACCATGCCCCAGATTATAGACAAGATCCTCAGATCAATTGCTTGTAGAATAATCAGGGGTAGTGATTTCTAGGTTAATCTTAACCAAGTTGTTGTAACCCGTCCATTCTATTATGGCAGTCCTAAGCGGCCGATATTATCATGTAAAATTCATCATAACATCTCGAATACCTTAAAATAAATCATTTGATAGGTCAGTTTGTCTGTTGTAAGTGTTGTTTGGTAAGCTGCTGTAAGTTTTTAATGAGATCTTTAATACTGTCGTAAAATAATTCATGATTTATTCGATAAAAAAATTATAGCAATTGATAAGATCAAATTTGATCACATGTATAAACTTATCTGATTTTGGATATACCAAATTATCAGTTGATTTCGTTAGCATCTTGATATCTTAACAAAATCTTAACAGGTCCCACTGAGCATGCCAAAAAAATTGAAAACTAAAATTGTTATGGATCCTTTAAGCCTGCATTTATCAGGAATGCATTGGATAAGGCGGATAAACGGGTCGGGACTTGCCAAAAAGAAGAGATGAGAATAAGAAGAGTTTAGGAGGGGAGAAAGCAAAGATGAAATGGAAAAGAGAAAAATATAAAAAATTAGAGGGTTGGAAAAGAAGGAAAACATTAAATACTGTTAAATAATTGGGTTTATTTGTATAGATTCGCACGTATCAATTATAATATAGTTTCCCCTATTTATAAGGGATCCTAAGAGTGCCCTTCCAAATAAGATACACCTTTAAAAAGTCTATACAAAAATCCAAAAATGTCCTAAATCTAGTGAACATTTACATTTATGGGTGTTAGGTTCAAATTGCCCTCTCGTTACTATTCAAACTATCTAAAGATCATTTTTAAACTTTGCCAATTTGGATTTAATTTTTTGGACCAACGTTGATAATTATAACCAATCAAATCGGTTCAATTATTTTTATTGTAAACCGGATTCATACCGTGTCAGTTGATATTCCCAATTACAGATTTTATTTTATTAAATTTGCATAGCTTGAAACCACTATTTCTATCTGCAATTTCAATTGAAAAAAGTGAAAATAAATTACTGAAAATAGATTTGCTCAATATTACAACTTCAAAAGCATATTCCATTATATTTATTACGCCGCATGAAATTTGGAATGAAATGTCGATTCTCGATTCTATTGTTTACCATAAGCAAAATGAGGGCAATAGAAATAGAAATAGAAAAGAAATAAAGTTGAATAGGAACTCCTTGGTGGGGACTGAGCAGCCGAAATAAATTAGTAATATTCATTTTTAAAAAATAAAATAAATACGTCTGTCCTTTTTTATTTTTCTTCAAAATATCAAATATATCCCATTTCATTTAATTGTTTTGTTCCCTGTACAATTTACAACTAAAAATAGGAATAAAAAGAAGAAATTCTATTTCATATTGCACGCCAAATATAAAATTAAGTGAAAATTTTTACCCTCATTCGTATTTCATTTTATTCTCAATAATTTCTTATTGCATTGATTAATTTTCTGACAAGTGCAACGGTAGGATTAATTGAATTTGAGTGCACTGCATTGATTAATTTCTGACAAAAGAGGGTAAGTAGTTGTAGAAGCCTGAGGATCATAATAATAAAAAGAGGGCAGTTGCTCTGGACCTTCAACTTTTTTTAGCTGCTGCTGGTTCAGACAGCCCTTTGACTGAATTGTAAATTTTGATTGCAATTATTTCCAACTGCTTGCGGTTGCGAGTAACCAATTTCTTTTCTTAGCTGTTTGTTGTTGTGCCTTAAAGGTTTTGTAATTACAATGCCTCAATATTCATATTAAAATCTTTTCTTTTAGGAACATTTTAAAATCTTAGCCATTAAATTTTGTTTTGAGAATTCAGTTACCTTTCAAAATTTTTATTTTATTTTTTCTAATTTTAAACCATCGTATATCCAGACTAACTAACCCGATCAATTAGAACTCGCATAGAGTAGGTTCACAAGAAGAGCAAAGTCCTCCCTCTAAAAAATTCTAAAAAAATATTGAAATTATTTTTTCTTCATTATATTGAAATTAAAATCTAAAACAATATCAAAAATTGAATTTTAAATTTCAAAATTTTAAATTTTAAAAATTTGACCAATTCAATTAATATATAAAAACAATTTTAAATTTTAAAAATTTGACCAATTTAATTCAATTTCACTTTTTGCAACAAACTCACATCTCTTTATACTAAAACAACAAAATTTAAAGTTTTTGACTTTTGTATGCAAAATATTAATTTAATATGTTGTTAATATAACTTTTAGAGCAATAATATTTATACATTTTAATTCTCTAGTAAGTGTTTAATCGATATAATTTTACAGATTAAAGTGTTCAATAGGTCAAATAAAAATTAAAGATGTCACAAAATTTTTTATAAAAAGTATACGAGTGGATTTCTGTATTGAGCCATACAATTACTCACAAGCAAGAAACAAACTCAACATTCTCAAACAAATAAAAGATTAACATAATTCAATTAGATTAAAAATCCTGATAAAAAACCAAAAATTATATTTAAAAAACAGATTGAAATATTAAATTAAAAATTTATGATATAATGCTTTGCTGCTTTGCTTGAGATTCATTTTCATTATTGTTGTATATTGAGTCTATATTTGATGTTTTGACAAGGTTTTTTCACCTAGTATATCTCGGTTAGGTTTGGATATATGAAGGGTCTCTTAGCTTGAATTTAGATCCTAAATATATTAAGTATTTCCTAGACATAATTAATTAATAAAATAAAATATCTTATTGCTGATTAAAAAAAGTATTTCAATGTAAAAAAATGTAATATTTTGTGATTAATATAAATGATATTGCATTGGATTCATGATAATATTTATATATATTGATTTTCTTTTTCTAATTTGCCTGCACGCATATTTATCACTGCAATCTGAATTTTCCGGAAACCATATTCTAAGTTTCTTTTGTTTTTTCTATCAAAAATGAAGGAAAGAAAAAATATTTGCGAGGCTCATATTTTTATATCATTTAAATATTTTCGAGTATTAGTAAAATATTACTTTTGAAATATACGATAGAAAAAATTAAAAATTTCATGAATTCATATAATTTCAGGAATAATTAAAAATGTATGGCACCCAAATATATTCTATATTAATAAAATTGAAAAAAAAAGAAAGAAAAGAAACCTATAAACTTGATAAACGTACCTTCAAAAGGAAACAAATTGAACCCCCATATAGCAGAAGATAACGAGGCACAACTGGGGCCACAGAAGAGGCAATTACGACACTACTTCAGAACCTGTAGAGTTTCTAAGAATCCCAACCAAAGCCAGCTGCTCCAGGTGCTGAACCATCAACATTAAATTTTACATTGAAATACTAAATGAGTTAAAAGATAAGAAGGAACAAGCTCCGTTTCATAACCTCAAACATGAAATTTCCTGACGAGAATTCGGAAACGTACATATTTTTTACTATTACAAGTTAAATAATAATATAATATTAAAAGTAATGCAGCAAATTATTCTTCCTGAGCACCAGCAGACATTTTTAACCAACAGTTATTTAATAAAACGTAGTCTTATTATCTCCGACTAATCCTAACCATTAAACCATTCTTGATATGAAGGATAATGGAAGCACAAGTAGGTTCCGGAACATGTCCTTCTATTACCTTAACTTGGTAATTATGGAGAATAAAAGCAGCAACGGCTTTCATTTCAGTCAAAGCAATTTCTTTTCCCAAACAAGTTCTTGGCCCTGCATTAAAGGTTAAGAACTTGTATGGTGATTGCTGTATAAGCCTTCCTTCCTCTGAAATCCATCTTTCTGGCTTGAACTCCATGCAATCTTCTCCCCATAGAGATTTCAATCTCCCCATCACGTAACTAAGATATAGAATTTTCATTTTTGGATCGACGTGATGTCCACTTGGTAACACATCTGGCTTTAAAGGCTTTTTATGCTCATACACAACAGGTGGATAAAGCCTTAATGTTTCACATAACGCTGCGTGCAAATATATTAATTTGTTTACCTTTTCCTGCTTGAAGAGCTGTAAACCTCCTGTTGTTTCACCTGTTGATGCTATAGATTTCAACTCCTCTCTAATTCTAGTTTCCGCTCTTTGATTTTTTGAAAGTAGCCAAAACAACCAAGTCAAAGAATTTACTCTTCCTGCGACAAGAAAATTTACAATAACATCTCTTAAAAACTCATCCTGCGATTTCGAACCAATCATTTTTCCTTGGCTGATATAAGAAGCCAACAGATCTTCTGGAAAGATGTCGTACTTATGAGTTTCAAGTTGTTCTCTTCTCATTGATATATATTTCGCTGCCATCCGGTCAAGTGTTTCTTTCGCTTCTTTCAGTTTTTGCTCCTTGCCAATCCCTAACAGCCTCTGTAACTTCCAAAAGAGTTTTGGAAAAACATGTCTGTAGAATACAGCTTGTTCAGCATAATCTAAGGCAATAGAAAACTCATCTTTTGGAAGTTTCGTAGAAACCGATTCTGGGTCGTAACCTGTCACGAATATCATAGCAACATCGAAAGTAAATCTATCAATCAAATCTTGGAAGTCAAAAACCTTATTTTCCTTACAAAGGAGTTCAAGAACCGGATGAAGCTCTTTGGCTAGCTTGTTATATGTCGTTTTAACAAGAAACGAGTGAAAACGATCATGATTAATGAGTGCACTTGCGTTCTTTCTTTGATGCTTCCATAAATCGGAATCAGCATTGAAAATTCCATCGCCTAATACATCAAACATTTCTTTGAACTCATCACCTTTAGGGTAGTTGTAGAAGTTGGTGCTCAATGTGTGCTTAACATTGGCTGGATCGCAGGTGGCAACTATGTCCATGTTAGAAAACCATGGACCTTTGAATAAAAAAGTGCCTCCACTTCTTTCGATTAGAGCTTTGCTCCAGTCATGGAAGTCGGGTACGTGTGCCACAAGAGAAGGGAGCATTCCAAGAAATGGCCAATTCCATAGAAGCTCATAGCGGTTGACATCAAACATTTCTTTGAACTCATCACCTTTAGGGTAGTTGTAGAAGTTGGTGCTCAATGTGTGCTTAACATTGGCTGGATCGCAGGTGGCAACTATGTCCATGTTAGAAAACCATGGACCTTTGAATAAAAAAGTGCCTCCACTTCTTTCGATTAGAGCTTTGCTCCAGTCATGGAAGTCGGGTACGTGTGCCACAAGAGAAGGGAGCATTCCAAGAAATGGCCAATTCCATAGAAGCTCATAGCGGTTGCTTAACCAAAAGCCTATTGAATAACAAATCACTGCTAATAGTATTTCAAAAATGCCTAGTAATGCCATTGCTGCCGATATTTCTTTCTTTCTTTTTGGGTTTGCTTTAGGGAATTGATCAATTGGGTATGGTATGAGAGGAAGTTCGGTTCACGTAGTGCGTTTTTTATAGGCAACTTGCAAGATATATCAATAGGACAAGACTTGCTTAATTATACTTGTGTATGGGTGGTCCCATAATGTCAACGGTAAAAAATGTCTTCATTTGAACCAAATATTGTATAAGGCTAATAACTTGCGTAGATAGGCACCACTAGTTTGAAATCTAACTGTAATTACAGTGGGAGGTGTATTCATACTATAGTGTAAAAGGAGATTGAAACTTCAACAGTGTCTGTAAGTTCATAATTAGATCTATAGAAAAACAATTTATAATGAGGTATAATCACGAATCTTGAAGTGAGCTTAATTTCATATCAAAAACGATATGTAGATATCTGGTAGGAAAATTTAAAATTAAAAAAAGAAAGAAAGAAAAGACATGACTTTTTTTTTTTTTTTGGTAAAAAAAGGAGAGCCAAGCTCTAAAAGCATGCATAATCTAGGTTAGGAAACCCCAGTATAACATGAATGAGCCAAGAATTCATGAATAAAACATGACATTTTTTCAATAGATGATGATATTTTTCTTCTAGATTCTATTAACACGGCATGTTTCTTCGTTGAGTGGTTCAAATTCTTGAAGACAAATGTATAAATTCTCTCAAGAACTTTGTTATTTTAACATGTATTTTCAATTTTTACTTTAACACATCGAATATTATAACTTATAAAATTATACATATAGAAGACTTTAATGTAAAACTATTTAATTGAATACTTTAACCTATAAAATTATACCTATTAAAAATTATAATATAAAACTAATTAATGTGAACAATTGAACTTGTCAAATTAGATCAAATAAAAATATGAAAATTATTATTTCAAAGTTGTACTAACCACGCATATTTAATCAATATGTTCTATATAAAAATTTAGAACTCTAAAAGTTGTTACAGTGTAGGAAGGTAGGGGTGAGCAATGGATCGGTTCGGTTCCAAACCGAAATGAATTGAAAAACTAAAAATAAAAAATATTGCTTTTGAACTAACTGATCTAAACCGAAATTATTTTGGTAACCAAATATGACTGAACTGGTTCGGTTACCGAATATCCAAATTTACTTTTTTGACTCATTTTCAATTTTAAATTCGGAAAAAAACTTATAATTCAATATCCAATTTAGAAGCTACAAATTTTCTAATAAAATAGTTTCAATTATTGCTTTAAACTAAAATCCACAAACTACAATAATAAAGTAAAATTCCAAATCCATAAGCATTTGACAAACAATAACAAATTAACAATTCAAAATTTACAAACAAACAAAGAAAAAAATAAATACAAACAAAAAAAATTACAAGAATTTAAAGCAAAAGGGAAAAAAAAAAAAAACGAAACTACAGATTCAAAGAAAAAGGTAAAAGAAAGAATTGAAAGGAAAAGGTTAAAGAAAATTAAAACGAAAAGGAAAAAAAAAATCAACGTTCAAACTTCAAAGGAAAATAAAATATGAAAGGAAAAAGCAAAAAAAAAAAAAAAAAAAAAAAAACGACGAGTCTCTATATAGAGAATATAGGTAAATAGAGAGAGAATTAGAAAGGAGAGGAGGTGAAAGAAAATTATAAAGAAACAAAAGGCGCCCCAAAAATCAACGTTCAATGGAGCTCTAAAGGAAAATCACGACATACTGAACAGGAAAAAGCAAAAAAAAAAAAAAAAAAAAAAAATCGATTTAAAAAAAAAAAGAAAAAGAAAAATTTGAAAGGAAAAGAAAGCAAAAAAAAAAAAAACTAACCTGATTGGAGTGAACAGTAGCTTTTGAGGCCAATGAGTTTAAGCTGGAAGAAGGGGAATTGGTGAATGAGAACTTAAGAACATAGAAGAAAGAAGGTTTTGGGTGCGGTGCAAATTTTGAAATAGCGGGAAAGAGGGATTGAGAAAGGGAAAACGCTAGGTTTAGTGTTTTAGCTGTGTAAATTAAAATGCAACGTTTTAAATTTGCGGTTCGCGGTCGGTTAATTGCAACATTTTTCATCCAAAAATCGAAACCAAATTAAAAAAATCTAAAAATAATTTTCCAAATTAAAAACCGTATCCAGTTCCAAAATCGAAAAAAACCGAACAAATATACAAAAAAAAAAAAAAAAAAAAAAAAAAAAAATCGATTTAAAAAAAAAAAAAGAAAAGAAAATTTGAAAGGAAAAGAAAGCAAAAAAAAAAAACTAACCTGATTGGAGTGAACAGTAGCTTTGAGCAATGAGTTTAGCTGGAAAAGGGGATTGGTGATGAGAACTAAGAACATAGAAGAAAGAGGTTTGGGTGCGGTGCAAATTTGAATAGCGGGAAGAGGGATTGAGAAGGGAAAACGCTAGGTTTAGTGTTTTAGCTGTGTAAATTAAAATGCAACGTTTTAATTTGCGGTTCGGTTCGGTTAATTGCAAATTTTTCATCCAAAATCGAACCAAATTAAAAATCTAAAATTATTTCCAATTAAAAACCGTATCCGTTCCAAAAATCGAAAAACCGAACCAAATAACCGAAATTAATTGGTTCAATTTGATTTTCCGATTTTTTCCAAATTCTGCTCACCTCTACATGAAGGTGTGCAATATACCAAAATTGATAATTTTAAGGGCACAATAGATCTCCTCCATAATTGAAGATGTCATAAGATTGAAGTAACAAAGTTCAAGAATGAATTTATGTATTTCGCTAATTCTTTATATTTGTTATAAGCATAGATAATCAAACTATGTATAAAAGATTTAAAGAGTTTGTTTGTGTGCTCATTTTGAAGATCTGTCAGTTTTTTGATTATTTACCTATCAATTTTTCATTAAAATTTTGTATCAAATCAAAGAATTATGTTGTACTAATGTAGTTATGAAAATATTGCTCTATATTTAATTTTTAAGGGAGAATATATCCTTCTTATTTTATTTATATCGATTAAAAGTAATTAATATGTTACTACCTCTATTCTCTTACTTCAGAAGAAATAGAAAAAGCTCTGAAATTAAAAAAATAGTTAAGGAGAAATTTTTCCCCATTTTTTGCCTATAACCCCTAATCAGTCTTAAATACATAATTAATGATAAGGAAGCCAACTCACTAATAGAATATTCTAAGTGTGCATTTATTAGTCAAAATCTTTAAGGATTGTAAAAGCCTCCTCAACTTCAAATTGAAATATTTTAGTATATTTTACATCATTTTCGAAAATACGACACTAGTAAAAAGGAAATTGTCCTCATACATCAAGAACACATCTTCTTCGTATGTTAAGTCCAGAAAGAATGACATTAAGTTTGTTTGCTAGGAAAAAAATTTATGCGCCATATTAGTAAGGTGCACTCGACTTAAAAACAATTTTTAAAAAGTACAGTACAACAATACAAATCTGTGACCATATTGTGAAAATTTCTACAAAAAATTTTATGCTCATATTCTTAAAGTTGAATACACTTCTATGAAACGCGTACAAACATAGTCCACGAAAAAATTCCAATTTAGTTTGTTCGATAATTTTAAATTTGCGCCCAAATTAATGAGGTATAACTTTGACATAGAGACTTTTGTTTATAAGTAGGATGCAACAATTAAAATGTGTGACTTTTTTATGTTGACCTCCCAAGAAAATTACTCGTGCGTAGTCATATTCGTGCTTCATACACTAAATGAGTGCACACTTCTTGGAAACTGAATGCAAACTTAGAGGACAAAATATTACAAGTTGTAAAAAATTTAAATTTGTATCCAAATAAAAGTGTAATATGAATAAAATGACCCTTTTCTTTTTTGTAAATCAACAATTAAAATGTGTAATCATATTATAAAACCTAATCAGTGTATGTACTTTTATTTGTGTTCAAATCCATAAAGTCCGGAACATTTCTACTAAATCGGTCATAAAAATTTGTTGCTTACACTTTAGAAACATAAGATCATTAATTATTCAACCCACTTTTTATCTGTCACTGTACTCATTAATTGGGCTAAAAGAAAGGCATTAATAGAAATTATTCAAAAGTATTTTAGAATTTCTCTTTTGATATTATTCTTAAAATTTCCATTTAAAGTTAAATTTTCTAAATAAAACAAACATCCTAGTTGAAAAATTTTTCTCTAAAGAAAGAGACTAGAGGGTATGTATTAACCCCACACAGTGTTTCGAGGTTTTGATTCAATCAATTTTGTTTTCAATTTCAACTTAGTCGATTTCGGATTTGTCCTGATTCTAATGAAGGGCTTCCTGTTCAGTCTCAATCACATAGCTGACTTTTTCTTTAGTTGTCAAGTTGAGACGTGTATAAATCTTGCAACCGACACAACACTTGCCCAAAAGGGAAAATAATAAATTGTTGAGTTAATATGATAATATTATGAGAAAGATATGTATTTTATAAGAAGTATATGAATATCTTATGATAAAGTGTTGAGTTAAAAACTTAAAATAATATATATTTTGTTATATTTTATATAAATTTGTTAAAAACACAACTTCTTTTATAAAAGTATTTTTTTTTTCTTTTACAAGAACACTTCTTCTTTTAGAAAATACTTCAATGGTAATTTATTTTATATGAAATTACTATCCATATTTATATGAATAACCCTAATTAAATATTTCTTTTTTTTAGAATAATATATATTTTTTACCTTTCCATATTTAGCTAGATACATCTTTATGTTTCGGCTTTCTAGCAAAAAGCTCAGGCCATATTCTTCTGCTTTTTCTTTTTCATAATTTTTTCTCGTCAAATTTAACCTTCATCCTCTATCTCTCTTTCATTTTTTTTAATTAATTGGTCTCTTTCTTTTCAATTTAAACAATAAAGCTTTTTTTTTCTTTTATTTTGTAAAACACCATCTTCCAATTAGTCATTATATAAATCATTTAATAATGAAAAATTATGTAAGTACGAATATTTAAAACTTGCAATTTTTAAATTAGAGGATAGACATTATTGTATTGAAATTCGAGAATAAAATTTACCGATCCTAATTAAATATAAAAAACAAAATCAGAAAGTTAAATCCATGTTAAAAACAGATTATTAGTAGCATGGATTCCTTTTTTAGGCAAAGCTTCCGGTAAGTGATTGCATTCTCTAGCGACCTTGCTGAAAACAAAATTGCAGAGCTGGAGAGATTGATCAAATCAATATATATATATATATAAGGCAGACATTTTTCTCTTGAAAGTACCAAGTGAATTGCTATGTGATATCATGTAGGATTAGAAAAGTTAAGTTATGCCACGAATGATCTCAAAATGCTTTAATTTGTAAATAAATGCACAGCATAAATGTTAAAGACATAATACTTAATAATATAGTAAGAAATAATAATCATTTAACTTAATAAAAGATTAAATAAATAATTAGCACAAAATAGTCATTTAAAAATCATAAACTTTTATTTGACTATATAAATAAATAGAATTAAATAGAATATTTTATTTTGTAACATTATTATTATTATTTTTCTTTAAATGATTTATTATCATAATTACAATTTATAAAATTTTTAACCATATTTATTAAATTAAATTTAAATATTTATTATATCTAAAAATTTTAATTAAATTTAAAAGTTAATATTTATTAAATTATCTATGCGTAGCACAAATATATAACTATAGAACCAAATAGGATTGCATCTTTTAAATTTCTATTAGTTGTAATTAATTTACATAAATAATTATCATAATCAGTAGATAATAAATGATTATTTATTATCAATATATTTATCAACATTTGAAATTATTAATAACAAAAATTAATAATAAAATTTTGATTAAACAAAAGACTAAATGTTTTGATTTCAATTTAAGTCATTTAAAATTAATTTAAATAAACAATTTGTACAATAAACCATTTGTGACGAATAATATGTCAAAGTATACGGCTGCTGGCAAAGTATGGGGCTGCCACCGCTTGACATTAATTTGTGCAGCAATTTACACAGTTGAATTTTTTTGCCTATAAAAGGCTACTCCCCATTTGTAAATGCATAGCGCAGGTTAGCAAACGAGAGAGTGAGAGCAATTATAAGCGAGAAAAATAGAGAGATTATCTAAAAAGAAAAATTAATCATAATATTTCGGGTATTCTTGGATAGAGGGTTATGAGTGTATGTAAACACTTTATTTATTTTTCTCCTATAAAAGATCTGTGGCAGTCCGGAGACGTAGGCAAAATTAGCCGAACTCCGTTATCAAACTGTGTGTATTATTATTTTGCACCCTCATAAATCTGACTTATCGGAGATTTTGCGTAATTTTTCCCAACATCATATGATATGATATATAACTAATTTACTCCAGGTTTGCTAAGTGCGACGCCATCAACATTAAATTTTACATTGAAATACTAAATAAGTTAAAAGATAAGAAAGAATAGGCTCCATTTCATAACCTCACACGTGAAATTTCCTAACGAGAATTCAGAAACTTACATACTTTCCTTTTTCTTTTTTCTTTTTTTTTTTTTTAAGATTCATATTTTTTGTTATTTATTACAAGTTAAATAATATATAACATTAAAAGTAATGTAGCAAATTATTCTTCCTGAGCACCAGCAGACATTTTTAACCAACAATCTTAAATTAATAAGACATATAGTCCTATAAAATTAATAATTATCTCCTACTGATCCTAACCATTAAACCATTCTTGATATGAAGGATAATAGAAGCACAAGTAGGTTCCGGAACATGTTCTTCAATTACCTTAACTTGGTAATTATGGACAATAAAAGCAGCAACGGCTTTCATTTCAATCAAAGCAGTTTCTTTTCCCAAACATGTTCTTGGCCCTGCATTAAAGGCTAAGAACTTGTATGGCGATTGCTGTATAAGCCTTCCTTCCCCTGAAATCCATCTTTCTGGCTTGAATTCCATGCAATCTTCTTCCCATATAGATTTCAATCTCCCCATCACATAAGTTAAATATAGAATTTTCATTTTTTGATCGACATGATGTCCACTTGGTAACACATCTGGCTTTAAAGGCTTTTTATGCTCATACACAACAGGTGGATAAAGCCTTAATGTTTCACATAATGCTGCGTGCAAATATAATAATTTGTTTACCTTTTCCTGCTCGAAAAGCTGTAATCCTCCTGTTGTTTCGCTCGTTGATGCTATAGATTTCAACTCCTCTCTAATTCTAGTTTCCACTCTTGGATTTTTGGAAAGTAGCCAAAAGAACCAAGTCAAAGAATTTACTCTTCCTGCAATAAGAAAATTTACAATAACATCTCTTAAAAACTCATCCTGGGATTTCGAACCAACCATTTCTCCTTGGCTGATGTAAGAGGCTAACATATCTTCTGGAAAGATATCGTACTTATTAGTTTCAAGTTGTTCTCTTTTCATTGATATATATTTCGCAGCCATCCGGTCAAGGATTTCTTTCCCTTCTTTCAGTTTTTGCTCCTTGCCAATCCCTAACAGCCTCTGTAACTTCCAAAAGAGCTTTGGAAAAACATGTCTGTAGAATACAGCTTCTTCAGCATAATCTAAGGCAATAGAAAACTCATCTTTTGGAAGTTTCGTAGAAACCGATTCTGGGTCGTAACCTGTCACTAATATCATAGCAACATCGAAAGTAAATCTATCAATCAGATCTTGCAAGTCAAAAACCTTATTTTCCTTACACAGGAGTTCAAGAACCGGATGAAGCTCTTTGGCTAGCTTGTTATATGTCGTTTTAACAAGAAACGAGCGAAAACGATCATGATTAATGAGTGCACTTGCGTTCTTTCTTTGATGCTTCCATAAATCGGAATCAGCATTGAAAATTCCATCGCCTAAGACATCAAACATTTCTTTGAACTCATCACCTTTAGGGTAGTTGTAGAAGTTGGTGCTCAATGTGTGCTTAACATTGGCTGGATCGCAGGTGGCAACTATGTCCATGTTAGAAAACCATGGACCTTTGAATAAAAAAGTGCCTCCACTTCTTTCGATTAGAGCTTTTTACAGGCTTCTTCAGCATAATCTAAGGCAATAGAAACTCCATCTTTTGGAAGTTTCGTAGAAACCGAATTCTGGGTCGTAAACCTGTCACTAATATCATAGCACAATCGAAGTAAATCTATCAATCAGATTTGCAAGTCAAAAACCTTATTTTTCCTTAACACAGGAAGTTTCAAGAACCGGAATTGAAGCTCTTTGGCTTATGCTTGTTATATGGGTCGTTTTTAACAAGAAACGAGCGAAAACGATATGATTAATGAGTGGGCACTTGCGTTTCTTTCTGAAAACGATCATGATTAATGAGTGCACTTGCGTTCTTTCTTTGATGCTTCCATAAATCGGAATCAGCATTGAAAATTCCATCGCCTAAGACATCAAACATTTCTTTGAACTCATCACCTTTAGGGTAGTTGTAGAAGTTGGTGCTCAATGTGTGCTTAACATTGGCTGGATCGCAGGTGGCAACTATGTCCATGTTAGAAAACCATGGACCTTTGAATAAAAAAGTGCCTCCACTTCTTTCGATTAGAGCTTTGTTCCAGTCATGGAAGTCGGGTACGTGTGCTACAAGAGAAGGGAGCATTCCAAGAAATGGCCAATTCCATAGAAGCTCATAGCGGTTGCTTAACCAAAAGCCTATTGAATAACAAATCACTGCTAATAGTATTTCAAAAATGCCTAGTAATGCCATTGCTTCCGTTTTTTCTTCTTCTTGTTTTACTGTTTTTGGGTTTGCTTTAGCGAATTGATGAATTGGGTATCGTATGCAATATTGGTTGAAGTAGTACGTTTTTTAGGCAACGTGCATGATATATCAAGTAGTACGTTTTATAGGTAACTCACAGCGGTTGCTTTACTGTCAAAAATACCTTCTTTTTTTTCTGACATGACTGTCAAAAATTCCTTCATTCAAACCAAACAACGGTAGTGATGATCATGTGACATGTCAATAATGTGGGTCCCGAATGTTTGTGGGTCCCGAATATGTATGGCACAACCCAAGATGGGGGGTGATTTGGGTTTTCTAAAAACTGAAATAAATTTTAGAAATTCTAAACAGAAATTAGAATTCTAAGTGCAGCTGAAAATATACAAAACTTTGTGAGAATAGAATATGGATTAGAATCTACTCACAATGTTCTAATTTCAAGGATAGAAAGTCTGTGCAAAGTGCAGCTATTGATTAGAACCGCTTCACACTGACTTATACAATATCAAAGCTTCTTTATGAAGGAATGTTATCGAAATTAGAACTTCCAGTTATTGAACTCAGAACTTCCTCATAAAGTTTGCAAGACCATATAACACTACGTGAAAGATAGTTATTAGAACTTCTTCAAGCTTCACACTGACTTATACAATATCAGAGCTTCTTTATGAAGGAAAGCTATTGAAATTAGAACTTCCTCATAAAGTTTTAGAAAATCATATAAAGCTGTGTGAACGACAGTCATTGAATTTAGAACTTCTTCACAGAGCCTTAAACAAGTATTAGAACAACTTTATGATGGAAATCTATCGTGATTAGAGATTCCTCATAAAGTTTAGAAAATTAATTAGAAACCCAATCAGTGAATTATACTGTGAATAGAATAATAATTAGAACAAGGTATATTCACTTATTAGAATTCCAGAGTTCTAATGATCAGAAAAGATAAAACTTATTGCCGTTTTAGAACATCTGAATCATTAACAGTTTCTGCGTTTCTAAAATAAAACGAGAGTGTAAAAGAGACAGTATCAACCAAACTTCAGAAAGAAAGAGATCAACACCGAGAGTTATAGTGGTTCGGCACTAACTCACCTACATCCACTCCCCAAAGAGATCTACCCTTTTGTCACACTAGATTTTGCCAAAGATCTAGTTAATAACCTCAACCCTTTCTGTTTTTGGTAGAATACAGAAAACTCGATTCAAGACATTACTATCCCACACATGGAGAAGGTCGCTTGATAACCTCTATCTCAATAGCTTCTCACTTAAGCTATTACACTCAAAAGTTTAACAAAATAAAGAGTCTGTCTACTGTAGAATACAGATTCTAAATGGACAGAAAGAAACGCCTATATAAGCACAGGAAAAACAGTTTTATCAGATTAGAAGGTCGAAGATTAGAAAATCATTTTAGAGATCAGAACTGTTTTTCAAAAGAAGTTGTTATAAAATTTCTTTTCTCTTTTAAAGATAAAACGTGAAGTAATAAGATAAAAAGAAATAAAGGAATTGAGAGTAAGTTTTGAGAGAAAAGATTTGATCAATGAATGTAAACTCTTAAAATAAAAACCCTTTTCTCCATGTCTTTTTAAAGAGAAGACCCCTTTTATAGAGAGGGATGAGAATCTCGTTTTTAGAAAGTGAAATCTCTTTTTCAAATCAGAATATGACTTTCCATTTTTAGAAGATACGGAGATCTTTGTTACCAAATCTTTTGAGTCACTATTCTTTCTTTTTATTAAGCGAATAACAGAAGATCAGACTTTCCTTTAAAAACAAGATTTTCGAAAATAAGAATTTGAAAATCCTTTTTCGAAATATTCATTTAGCAAAAAGGATTAAGACAAAATCTTCTTCATTTAGGTCCTTTCATTTTAAGGGTATAGCATATATAACTCTCTTATTAAAAGCAAGATATGCGCTCTTAGATCTTTCAAAAACTCTCCACTAGGTCCGAGAGAGGAGTAAAGTGATTTTAGCCATCTGAAATTGAGGCCACGAAACTCACTCACTTTATTAGTTTTCTAGGAGAGAGGGAGAATCTATAGTCTCGATTTTAAACGGAATGAGTTGCGGAGGACAAAATAAATGATGTTATTTTGCAAGAAAAAACTAATCTTTCTTCCGAAAAAAAATATTTTTTGAGAGAGGAAAAACGATTCTTTTGTGCTACATTACTTATAATATCTATATCACCTTCTCTATCGTCGCTGAGAGCACAATATGTTTGCTCTCCTAGAGAGTGTAGAGTAATGATCTATGGAGATTCTTCGAAAGCTCTCTTCACTCAAGATGTAAGTACCTCAAGTGCTGTGCCGAGAGAGGAAAAAATTTTCTGTCTATATAAATGAGACTATATCTGGAACAGGCATATAGAGTGCAAGTATATTTCAGTAAAGATTGTGTTATTTGTTGTGGTAATGAATCATCACAATCCTGTAGATAAGCCATGTATATATATGCCCGTCAAGAAGCATTCTTCGCTTGGACCCTTTTTTGTGAGACTACTCGCGACGAAGGTAACCAGATAAGATTTAGCGACGAAACAATATAATCTATCATGTGTCTCACCCTGCACTCCGGGTGAACATATTATAGTGATGAGCAACAAGATGGTATCAAATCAGTGTCAAAAAGATTGTTAATAAATATAAGGCAGAGAGTTATGAAGCGACAGTGTATTTGATGCGCCACGAGCTCTCGCAATAGTAGTGCAGTAAAACTGTTTTATGAAAAGAAACTGTTTTTATGAGAAAAATTAGAACTAGGGAGGCATTTTTTAGAAAATGAATTTTAGACTAACAAGTAATAAACACAAGATATTCTAAGTTTCTAATAATCAGCAGCACAATGGAATTAGAACAAGCAAAGATAAACAGGATATTGCTGAGTTCTAATATTTTAGAACATATGGTCCAGAGCAATAAAAAATAGAAATAGAACAGAAGATCTTAGCCCAACCTGCAAAGAACAGTCAGTCTAGAATAAGAACATTAGTTCTAAAAATCACACAGCTTTTAGAAAATATAGCTTCCACCAAAATAGAACCAATATAGAAAACAATAAACACACCAGAAATAACTTACTACACAACCACTAAATATAAAGTCCTTGTAGTTGCCAAAGGTACCACCAACAATATACTGTCGCACCAAATTACCATCAGACCTATCCTGTTCCCCCTTTTTTTGTCATCATATAAAAAGGGTTAGACATAGTCCAAGCAAAAATAAAAGAAATAAACAGTTAAAAAAAATAATCCTGTACGAAGTATAACACAAATAAATTGTTCCCACAAGCATATAGTAAAACGATCAAGTAGAGGCTTAAGATACCAGTTCTAAGTCTCTTAGAACTTCCTCAAAGGCTGAGCTTGGAGCAATTTCAAAGAAGAACTTTTCTGTCTTTTTGAAGATGGAATGTAGTGGAGGCTTTTTCCATGGTGGTTTTTTGTGCTGTGCCAGCAAGTAATGCTTCGCATTCTTTGGCCTTCTCTGAGGAAGGGAACGTAAGGTGTTTCCTTTTCACCTTTAGAAGTAGCTTTAACTTCCTCGCATTTCTAATCTTTTATTCCTTTCCAGAAACTTCATGAGAGACTGAATTTTGTTCATCACAAGTCTTGGCACTGTTGAAATCCGCCCTCATCAAAAAGTTCCCTGTTATGTTCTGCTATTAGATCCTCTTCTAATATTTTTAGCATAGGCAATCCTACCTACGTTTCCCTACTACGTTGAGCTGACAATGACTCAGATTCTTGCTCTGCCTTGCCCTCAGTAGTCTTTTCTTCATCACTGATTTCTATTTTCTCTGTTTCAACATCGTTGCCTTCCTCAGCTTCCTTCCCTTTTTCTTGCTCTTCATGTTCTTTCTCTTTTTCTGCTTCTTCTTCTTTTAATTCTTCTTTATCTGTGGCACTTTCCTTTTCAGTGTCTTCTCCTTCTTCTCGTGTTTCTTCTTCTTCTGTCTTTTCTTCAGTCTTCTTTTCCTCTTCTTTCACTTTTTCTTCTTTCTCTATTTCAACTAATTTTCCTTTCCCCTTTTCTTTTCTCTTCTTCTCAACTTCTTCTTTACTTTCCTTTTCCTTAATTACTTCTTCTTTTGTTTTTCCAGTTTCCCTTTTTACAAGTTTTCCCCTTTTTACTTTCTTTTCTTCCCTTTCTTTTTCTCTTCCTTCTCTTCTTTCTTCTTTTCCTTCAACCTGTCTTCTCTCTTTCTCTTTTTTCTTTCACCTGCTTCCTCATCCTTCATTTTCAAGGATCCGCTATCCAGCTTGGAAAACAGGACTGACCGAAACATGCTTATCTTAGATCAACATTCAAAAACTCAAACACAGGCCCTATGAGAATCATACCATAGGGTAGGCTTTTTGGGGTTGTTCCTGGCAGTTTATCAAAACAACAATGGTGACATAGATGAGAAGT